CTACTTTATCAGGCATTACAGGAAAGACGAAATGAAAATGACATTGAAGCTTTTCTGAAGACGGTCGGTTCTTTTCAAAGATACATTCATATAAAAACACCCGCGCTGCATTTTAATTTTGAAACGTGCAGTGCTCTGTTTATTCAACGAAGTATAAGCCTTTTGGGAAATCTATTTATGGCGGTGACGAGCCGCCACAAATTACTCAATGTATGGGAAACACTGGACACTGCTATAAGTCAAATAGCCAAGTGATAACAAAAATAAAAGAGTTCACACATATTACACAGCCTGCTGCTCATAACTGCTTAAGAGTACACTGGCCACGAGCGATGACATCGTGGATGCTATTGTCGGACCTACACACACATTTCATGAGGAAAGTTAACGTGCACGTTATAATCAGCCCGGAAGTTTTGTCTGAATTGCATGTGTTTCTACTTTCACATGCAAATGACTTGTTGCACTTATGAATATGATAACTTTCCGGCATCAATTCTAGTAGGGTAAAACGTAATTACGCTTTCGAAACGGTCTGTTTTGCCCTGCCATCATTAGCTGAAGCTGTGTGTGAACAAGAAGCGGCTGCAGAGTGTGAGTTGCTCCATCTCTCACGCACACGCAGCCAGAGAGAGATTCTCCGGCATTCCGCAACAACGCTTAGCTGCCCGCCCGCAGATGCGCCTGCCTATAAATCGGCCTAATTTGCAGCACAATCGGCCGATGCCGATTCATTAAAAAATGCCAAAAATCGGCCGATTAATCGGTCGACCTCTATACTTGATTTTATCTGATGTGAACTGACTGGATTGAAAAGTCAACATTCTAAACCAGAATAAAACAAAATGTATTGTAATTTTTTAATTCATTAAATTACTACATTAACTATAATTTTGAGGACCACAGAGGATGAAAAATTTTTGAAAAATAAAAATGCAATAAAAGAATGCAAATAATTGCAAATGTGCAAGCAAAGAAAGTGTGAAACACATCAGGCTCTTTTTAGTGGAATAACTGCCCTTCATCAGTACTTTAGAGATACGGTCTCGATTATGCAAAAAAATATCTACAGTTTAAGCTCTAACAAAAGCAGATCCTATTTTGTGCTCTTGCAAATGATTTAAAATGCAAGAATGGTTGAAATAACTCCTAAACAGATGAACAGAAGCACACAGGTTTGCACATTCTAAGAATATCTTGCACAGTCATTAACACTGATCTGAAAAATCTAACTGTTTTTGATTTAAGCATTGTTCTGCGTCGTGCGCTTACACATAGTCGCTACTGAGAGTTTGCTGAAACAGACCTTTGATTCTGTGAGACTCTACTGTAGCTTCCTGTTCCTTGAGCTTTTGCAGTAAAATGGTAAATAACATCATTAACTGGTGCATCAGCAACACGATCAGCCCACGTCCCTTCACAAAGACATTAATTTTCTTAAATGCATGTATGAATATGCTGGTAGTTATAAGTCAGTTTGATTTAAAGCAAGATAAAGATGAAAAATCATCACCCCAGTCACGCCAACTCTCAGTCTGGGGACTGATTTACAGAAATGTTTATTGTGCGTAAAGCTTCTTTGCAGGAGACCGAGGACTATTAAAACCCTTGTTTAGCTGGATATCTGTCAGATGGCCATTATTGGATACGGCTTAACAATTGTGGGAGGAATTTTGTGTATGGATTGCACTAAGTCTGGCCAATATACTTTACTGAAGAACCAAGACATCAAATATACAACCCAGGCTTAAAATAACTTCACTTTCAAACAGAGAAACTTTGAAAAATCGATAGAAGATCATCCAAAATGTTTTTCTTGAACTTCAAAGAGTCGCATAACCATTACGTCTGGAGGAGAAACTTAATGTGAGTAACCTTTCCTTCAAAACACCATGAGATAACGTCTTTTTTTTTCTAACATAGGATTTTTTGGCAATCCAATAGTCAAATTTCTCAATACAGAGTCTTCTTTAGAGAACACCCACCAACGGCCTGTGCTACTCACCTTTCCTCCTGAAGGCGGGGCTGATGAGCACAAGGGGCGTGTTGATTTCCGGTTCTGACGATCCGCCGTGACTGCCGGTTTCAGACATGCCGTGGTCTCCACACAGAACCAGTAAGTTGGGCAACGTCCCTTCAGATTCCTGAAACAGAAAGAAAAAAAAAGAAAGAAAAATATTTTAATATATTTATATTTATTATAAATCTAAATTAATATAATTACGAATAAATTGCCAATATTTACTGACTATTTAATTATATACTTACTATTAAATTATACATATGCACAGATAACTACAAAAAAATCTGTAAAATAATCCATTAAAAAACTATGATATTATATATCATAACTTTATTTTAAAAAAATTGATAGAAATTATTTTCACAAAATAAATGGTTTACGGTAGTGCTGTCAAATCGATTAATCGTGATTAATCGCATATGGTTATTTCACTCTTTGTTTATACTATGCTCATTTTAGACATGCAAAAATTCATAATTTTTATATATAACAATATCTATTATTTTTTAAATACAATTAAAATATAATATACAATATACATAATATTGTATAAAATATCAATTAATAATTAAATAATTAATAAATCAATCATTTTCAAGCACTTTTTGCAATGTCATTAAAATATTTCTTGACATTGACAACAATGGCTAGATAAAACATTATTTATGGTTAAAAAAAAATTAATTTCTGCAAAAATTCTGCAATGTAAATTTTCTTAATTTCTTGTCAGTTTTCCGCAGATCCTGCTGCATATTTGTGTACATTTGTGCATTATGCTTTCTGCAAAAATTCTGCAAAATAAATTTTCTTAATTTCTTGTGAGTTCGTCGCAGATCCCGCTGTATGTTTGTGTATATTTGTGCATCATGTGTGTTTGTGTATATTTGTGCATCATGTGTGTTTGTGTAAGCGTGCGGGAGAGACGCTGGAATGCTCTTCTCTCCACTGGAGCAAATCACTGAGGTTTTAGCGCTAAGCCGCGGGGACGTGTCTCTCTCTCTGCCATCAGGGATGCGAGGACGATCGGCTCTGTTTCACATCAAAGAGTCTCTCAGTGCGTCGGAGCCACTTGATTCCCTCAGTGGCACTCTGAAGCCGTACACACAATAAACAGCCGTCCTTCACACACTCCTGGGCCCTGTACTGGTGCACTCACAGCTGGCCGTCCAAACGCTCTTACTGCCGCTAACACTGATGATGCTACTCTAACAACCAGTCCTCTGCTCGCAGCGGTTCAAATATTCATGAGCCCACTAAACGTATGCTAATGACTAGCCTTCCCTCCCGCCCGAGTTAATGCACGCTAATGACAAGCACTGTGAATAAAGCCATCTGAAAACGCCGCCTTACTTGCGGCCTAATATCCGCCAGCGGTGTGGGAAAATAATAGCGTGCATTGACAGGTGTGATTTAAGTCACGGTGGCAGGAAAACGCAAACTGTAAATTAGCTTAGGAAATTCCTATTATGCTGTGATTGCCCAACACATCACTGTCAAATAAAAGCTAAACCCATTCCTTGTGTAAATTATTATACATTAAAGGGGTAGTGCACCCAAAAATTAAAATTCTGTCAGCATTTACGCAACCTCATGTTGTTCTAATCCTGTTTCTTTCTTCAGTTGAACATAAAAGAAGATATTCTGGAGAATGTTGGTAATCAATCAGTTGCTGGTAGCCACTGACTTCCATAGTATGGAAAAAACTATGGAAGTAAATAGGGACCAAAAACTGTTTAGTTATCCACATAACTATCCCTTCAAGGCATCTAAAGTAGATGCAAACACTGAAAGAATAAAATAAAATAAATAAATAAATAAATATAATATAATAATAACAATAATCAATCAATCAATCAATAGGACAAAACATAAAATATAAATAATACATATGAAACCTAAAAAATAAAACTATATGTCATTACAAAAAATAAATGAATATTATGTAAACAGAATAAAATATAGCACAAATAAAAAAAAATACATGCATATTACATTGTCTATGCTTAAAATTGTACTTCTACATAAAGCAGAACAATTTTAAATAAATAAATTATAAAAGAAAATAAGCAGTAAAAAAAAAAAAAAACATTAATTTATTTATTTTGTCACATATAAGAGAATTTGGGCCAGAAAATATGTGCTTAATTGTCATGAAAATAAATGTATCAAAATCTGAAAATAAAAATAGGCTTCATATTCTATATTCATTTTTATTCTGATTTATTTTCAGTTTTTTTGACAAGCCGCACGAATAAAGCCATTTGAAAATACCACTTCACTTAATTCAAAGGGAAAACAAGATTTTTCTTACCTCATTGATAGATATTTCTAAAAACATTTTCAGAAAACAAGACTTAAAAACTTCCTTATAGTCATTTTCCATCTTGTAATGAAAAAAGGCAAAAATACTAAATCTTCTATTCTTATCAGAATCAAGTATTTTTAAAACAAGAAAAATATCTAATAATCTCAACTGTTTTGAATTTAGAATTTAGTATTAAGTCTTTAATTCTTTTTTCATTGTATTATGCATAAACTCAATTAATTTTGACTTTTTTTGTAACTGACTTAATATCTTACATCAATATACTTCTCAAGTAAATGCATCTTGACTGAAAAATGTTTAGATATTTCTACTGGAAAACAAAACAAAAATATTGTGCAAGAATTTATATTTTTTTTTGCAGTTTCTAAAACCCATTTAAAATCATCAAACCAGACCTGACTAACCAGGTGGCCAACTAAGGCCAGAAAACCACCTTGGGCTGGTTTAGGCTGTTTTACGGGCATGCAAACTTTTAAAAGACCTGAAAGGGACAATACAACAGATTCAACAACAAAGCTCTGCTCTAAAATAACAAACAAAACATTTGTGCATTGCGTCACAGGAAAACACTTCAACTATTCCTACAGTAGATGGCCAATTTCACCTCAATATTGGCATGAGGACGGCCACCGTAAAGGGCCGTGGGGGTGTCCTGTCCGCAAATGCCTGTTAGCAGTGGCAGTTTTAGGGCACTTGTTTTCCAGCGGCGAGCCAGAAATAAATTGCTATCACATTGAGGTGCAGTAATGGAGACGGATGAGTCTCAGACTGTAATACAGTGTTTGTATAGCAGGGGTAAGGATAAAGAACAGCCAACAAAGCAAGGAAAATAAATAACTTGATATAAGAATATAAAGCGTTTTTTCTTTCCCTCCTTTATAATGTGATTTACTGTTATCCTCTGGATGCCTGCGTCTTGCCATAAAAATACATTGAAAATAGAGCATTTCCTCTTATGACTTACTAGAAAGCTTAAAGCAGAACAAAACTAATAAAGAAAAGCGACATTAAAGGAGCTTTGAAAAATAATTCAACATGAAGCAACCATTGGGAGTTCTTTAAAAAAAGTCAAGAGTTTCAGACTTCATTGCGGGAACGAGTGCAATAAAATAGAGATCCGTGTGAATTTATCTCAGTGATTTGTTGAGCGCTTAGAGACCGATGTGGCTGAATCAAACACAGTGTTAATGTACGAACTAACTATTATTTGAAAGCGCAAAAGTGATTTCTGACTTCAGGAAAGAGTGATTTGGTTTGAGACAAGGAGTGGGAAAAATGAATAAAAAATGAAAATGGAACAAGGTAAAAGAATGAAAGATGCCCCCTGCCATTTTAATAGCACTGCAGGCGGCTTTTCCAAGAAACCTTGAGGAATTACAGACGGCTTAAATGAACAGTTCCGCTAAAGTGAGTCATTATTTACTCACCCTCATGTCGTTCTGAACCCTATACGACTCTCTTTCTTCAGTGGAACACAACAGGAGAAACTATGAATTCTAATTTTAATCTTTCCTCTTTAAATATCATGTACATATGATATGCATATTTAAATTTGGCACATAAAAATGCAATAAAGTACAATACAGGTTTGATGTCAAAGACTAATTGATTTGATTTTTGATTTGAGAACTCAGATGGAGGTCATTTTCAGTAAACTTTCAGTAAATAACAACTTAGACAAATGTCACATGACTTCAGAGGACTTCAGCTCATAAGCCGCAGGGTTAACTGAAACTATTCAAAAATGCGTTTGAAATAAAATAAATGAAATGAAATGAAATGTTTAAACTGAAGTACAAAAATTTTAAGATTCAATTTAAAAACTACAAATGACTAAAACCAAAACTGAAATGAAAATAAAGCTACATAGAAATATTAAAAACTAATAAAAATGTCAAAAGCGCATACAGTACTAAAATTACTAAAGCTTAAACTAAAATGCAAGAAGACAAAAATTCAGGATATTAATAAATACTATATTTGCATATTAATAATTAATTATTAAGTCGTCTGGACCACGTTTATGCTGCTTTTTTGTCCTCCTCATTAGACATTTGTATGAGAGCAGTAGGATTTAAAAACTATACATGTCTTTCCACATCGTTATGAGTGTCTTTACTGTACACCCAAGAGCAGCATGAGCATGCTTTCAATTGTCTCCTTTTGAAGAAATAAGCTCATATGGATGTGGAATGATATTTACGTTTTGGAATCCTGATGTTTTCATACAAAGGTAATGAATTCCAGACAAGGAGAGTGGGGGGAAAAAGAAAGAAAGAGAAAGTAAGAAAGACTGAATAAGACAGAGAGTGAGAAATAGCAGAGAGGGGAGGCAGGGAATAGGTTCAGAAAAAATAAAAGCGGTAAATCTGTGAGGAGATTTCACAGGCACAGAAACCAAACCCAAAACGCTTCAGTCAAGGTCTGACGCTTCTTTTGCCACGTACAGCGATTCCCTGCACAGCACCAGTGAGACACGTTCCAGAACCATCGTTTAAATATTCAGGAAGTCGTTTAGGCGGTTTTCTCACGAGATTCTTTAATGCTGGCCCTTTTTTAATTGAAGAGGAGAACAGGGGACGCCAGTGCAATTTCAGAGAAAAAGAAACTTGTGGAGTTTGTGGCAGCAGCCAAGCTATTAAAGGAGGGGGAAAAAATTTACTCATGCTCATGATGTTCCAAACCCAAACTTTCCTTCATCCACGAAACAGGGACAAGGAGAGCGTTGAAGGATGTTCAAGCTGCTCTTCTCAACAGAATAAAAACAATATACTGTTTAATAATATATTGTTTAA